TCAAGAGCCCGACGGTGAATAAAAATGTATTTTCCGTACCAAAAGTGCAGAACAGGATCTCCGTATACGATAGTACGGACCCGGTGTCACAATCATCGGTGTTTCTCACCCATTCACAACGATCCTTGGTAGCAATGTTCCAAACGTACGAACAGTCGTCCTAGACAAACATATGGTTATGACAGTTCACGTGGCAATTCGTGATCTTTCGAAGCAACTCGGTATCATACCTCCCGTATCGGTAGCGGTCCATGTTTCAAGAAATTCTCGGATAATTCTGAACTCATGTGAACTCTCTCTCTCTCTCTCTCTCTCTCTCTCTCTGAATATTAATTAATCTCTTTCGACTTGCTTCTTAGAAAATTAGAAATTGTGAAATTAACATTGCAACAACGCTGAATTGAGGCGCAGTTGACTATGCGTTTCTCAATTGTTTCTTAAACTTCCAACATAACGGCATGGCCGTTAATTCAGATTTTTAACGAAGATTTTCGAACAATCTTTCATCGTAGATAAGAGAAAGATTGCCGTTTGGAAATTGCCTCGGGTTTGCTCTTCCGGCGACTCGTGTTTACTCGAATTGTGAATGGGGAAAAAAGGTCGACCGGGTTGAGAAATGCACGTCGCGAAGTTTATTGCAGTGTACTTCAGGTATTGTTAACTTTGCCCGGTTGCTCGAGCAGAGCTGAACATAAACGATCTTTCGCGGAAGTTGAATGAATACGCCGGGCTCATTAGACAGTGGGTAACGGCTCATCCTCTTCCTGCTGTTTCTCGTTATCGCGGAACAATGAAAAAAGAAGGAAAAAGGAAAGAAAGGAAGAAAGAAAAGACCAGGCTAATGAGCACCGACAGAGAGATCACGTCGTCTAGCTTCGGCAAAGTGATTAGCGCGACAAAAATATCGTTTCGTGAATGTTCTATTATAGAATAGAAGTGCCAAAAAATTCATAAAATCATGATTTTACTTGACACACAGTTTCCGAGATTAATCAATTTCGTGCCCCATTTTCTGAAACTTAACATCATTTTAATTGATAGAACTGTCAGCGTGTGTCAAAGTGAAGCGAAGCAAATGATAATCGACGCAAAGGGAGGAGTTGGAGGAATGGGCTGGGATATAAAATTTTCTGTTTCGACGGGGGTGAGAAAAAAGGAAGTATATCAAAAGAAGTTTTCGTTCCGTGCGGAAGTAATGTTTCAAAAAACTTCCACGTTCCTTTTTAACGTAATGTTCTTCTCGCAGAGGGAAGAGGTGAAGGATACTTTGAAGCGGCGCGTGCACGAAACGCCTGGTAAGCGGGTCAAAGTTATACATCCTTCGCTCGAATTAATAATGTTTCGCAATTTAATTGACGTACGCCCCGGCTGTGTGACTGAAATTATAATATTATAATGTTATGACGTAAATAAAATATGCACTACGAAATGCATATTCCCGTGGCCTGGAAATGAGCGAGCTCGCGCACGATGAAAATTTATATTCACGCACGCCTCCACGAGACAATGCTCGCATCGATGAAATTAAAGTGTCAGGAATTTAGAGAGACGAACGATTCGACAGCGAGTGAATGGAATTTCGACAGACGAGGGAAAAATAACATAAATTGAAATAAAATCCAGATCTTGTTCGTCAAACTGTCTCGTAATTCTTTTCGCAATTTTTCTGAATTTTTAGGCATCATTGTATAATATATTGCACTATGATCGTATCTCGTACATTCGAAAACTTGTAGAAATAATCAAGTATTATTCTTAAGGATTAATCTCCAAGGATTATTCTTAAACATTCTTTGGTAATAGAATGAAGAGCATAATTGCACTAACAACAATTGTGAACAATTTGAACTGATGTAACTTTGTAAAAAAGAGATCACATAGTAGTCCACTTGGTCTCTTCTCAAAGAGCGAAGCTTTTACTTTGATAGTCGTGAGTTCGTTTCTTTTGAAGATGATTTTATATCACTAAAAGGGTGGGAAACTGAAGAATGAAAAAATTTTTCTCGAAAATTGTAACAATTCAAACGCGTGTAAAAATAAAAATTGAGAATTCCTTCTCGAAGATTGAAGATTTCACCTTCACAATGATTCCTTGAAACTTGTTCTGCAATTTTTCACTTTGCCGTTTTATCGAATGTTGAACGTTAGGGTTAAAACGACAAAAATTCGAAAGTCTGATCGAAATGTTCCAAATTTCATAAAATGGTGAAAAAAGAAACTCGTACAGCGAGTTTTAAGAGGTCGCGAAAATATTCCCACCTTCAAGACCATGGTAGATTTAGTCGTAAGGAAAACTTGACGTTTGAATTTTTGCAAAGTGTGCTCCTTGGTTTCTCACCCGCAAAAAATCATTTCCAAAATTCACGGCTGTCAAAGTACAAGCTTCCCGATTTCAAACAAAACTAACACGGATCTTTCTTCACGAAAATTGTATCAGTTATTAAATCAACAATTTTTCATTGTCATTGGTATAATTATGCCTCTCGCTGTATCTCTCATTTAATAACACCAAAGAGACGGGATTCGTCGGCGAGCCACGTTCACGACGAGCGAGAACGAAAGAGACAGAGAGAGAGAGAGAGCTCCTATCGCGTTATAAATTTGGCTAAATTAGTATAATGCACTTATTTCGTATTTCTGGTTGCCACGGTGGTTTTATTCCACCGGCGGAAAAGTCTAAACACATTTTATTAGATTGCATTCAAAGTCGCGAGAGAGAGAGACGCGATCCACCTCCTCCTTCCTCCCCCCCCCCCCCGTTCTCCCCAATTTATAACTGCGCTTTTATTCTCTCAACCCGGAGACGCGCGGCTGACTTTTCCGGCTTCCTGTTTTGCTACTCCACGTTCGTGCATACATAATAAAGCGCGAGTGATATAACGCTGGAATATGCAAAAAGCTTCTTTTCACCGCGTAAGACGCCACTTATAACTAATATAATGACGTCCCCCCCTCCCGCTCCTCTTTTTCTTTGTTACGGCATTTGGAATTCTAAAGCCGTGGCTTTCGTTACGTTTACGTGTGTGTATGTATATATATATATACATATATATATATATATATATATATATATATCCTACGCAGGTGCCGGAGAGTTTCAATTCGAACCGATACACTTCGGGGCGAATTGAATTTCCACGAGTTATCATCCGCTGTTTAATCAAATATTTGCTTCGCGCCTGTTTGACTCGTGCCTACGTTTCTGTTATTATATCATACTAATTATATTTGCTCGATTTACGCATTATCACGCGTCCCGCATAAATGTCCATCTCTTATTGTGAGACCATCTGTCGGCCATTTTGCCCGTAAGAATTCGAACGTTCACGTCGAATACCATCAGTCGACTGGCGAATCGAAGATTAGCGAAGACATAATTCGAGTAAATGTTGACGCTTGCAAATTTTTCGTATATATCTTCACTAGAACGGCGTGAAGAGATTAACGCAACATAGAATATATAGAAAATAATATTCTTCATAATGTATAATTTGTAAGTTATATTCGCGCGTTAAAGTGATTGCAGATAAAGAAAAGGTAAATCCTAGATAATACAGTCTTCTGTATGTCAGTGTGACGACATTTTGCTTTCGTTCTACCTAATTGTTTTGAATTTTTGTTATAACATCCTTCACAAAATGGCCGCCTGGTCCTGGTTTTCCTGCAATTTTTTCTCATTTTCTCTATAGGCTTTAAAGCTCTATAAGGAAATGCAACTCTCATCATAAATATAAAAAAAAAATATATATAGTACAATTATATATATAACATATAATTTAAAATTAAAAATTATTGTAAAATTACATATATAATATATAATTTTGTATATATATATCATATTATATATAATATATACTGTAAAAAATAAGAAACACATTTCGGTGACTCCCAGTGAAATAAATCCATTAAACATGTTCCTGTACCTCAGCTTACTATATTTTCAACCTAATTCTGCCAATCGTGTAATAAAAAATTCACGTTGGCGTTCTGGGCCAGACAAAATTCAAAATCAGCGTGGAATTCAACTCTGTCGAATACCGAAATGTGACAAAACTACGAATCGAAGAACGTATAACGACAACGATATTGGATGTAGATTATCTTTCTGCAGTGTAAAAAAAGCTCCAGCCGGAACTTGAACAGAAGCGTATCAAAATTACAACACCGGAAGTTCTTAATATTTCAGAACGTGACTGTTACCTTCGAGGAAACGTCCCCCGGTTGAACACACTTCCGCTAAGTTTCCACTTTAGCCAGGCAATTTCGTAAAGCGTTCGGCCAAATATTTTATAAGAAAACGCGAGTCTCGAGGCTTTTAAAAGCATTTTAGGAAGCATTGTCTCGCTCCTCGGCGTAAAACTGTGTAAACTGTGAACTGCGCGAATACGGGGAGCATCCAGCTCTCTGTTCATCCAACTTTTTTCTCTGTAATTTAAAAAAGTAGGAACGTATACGGTAATACAATCGGGCGGGAACATATATATTCCCACAGGCATAGACGAATTGAAAATCTGGAAACGAATTCCTTTTTTTTTTTCCCTCCATTTGAAACATCGTTTCCAAGGAAATCGAGTTTAAAAAATATATATATATATATATATATATATATATATATATATATATATATACATATATATATATATATATGTCGATTCACTCGATGTGAAGCTGGCTAATTCCCGATTGGGGAACGAACGGGACAAACGGCAAATGATTATTCCACGCGCGCAAAATAAATCGAAAATCTTTTTTTCATCCGACGCCTCGTATTTTTCCGGGGGAAATCGAATTTCAAAATTTCCCGCGGACGCTCGTGTTGAACGTATTTTTATAAAAATTAAGTTTCTGGTACAAAAAAGAAAAAAAAAAAAAAAAAAAAGAAAGAAAGTCCGCGTATTTGACTTATTTCTCAAATTCTGATTTCCGAGGAAACGAGGCTCCCGATCAAACATTTCATTCCATTTCCGTTCGAAGGAAACACGATTCTTCTTATGCTTTTATTAAGAAACAAATGTACACATCGACGCGGGGCACAATGTCATCTGCGTGAAGTTTAATTGGACGAATAACTCGAGTGAATTGTTTTCGAGTCGCTCGGTATGAGAACGATTCACGATCGTTTCTTCTCAACGTTCACCGATGTTGTTCCTCTCCGGCGAAACAGTAGCTTCAACAACTTGCAGACTATCCAAATTGCAACCAGAGTTGAGACTACCATCGCGGACACGACATCCAGCAACAGATACTGATACCACGTTAAATCGGCAGCTGCTATTTTCAACGAATCCGGCCCGTGACGAAGTAAATATTCTATCCAGTAAACTCCCTCGTCCAAAGGTGGTATCGGTCGGTCTTTGAACCGCGAAGAAGCTTCGGCTGCCATGTCCGTGTAGCTGTGGATCATACACGGTCACATCAAACGAAAGTAATTTTATCGCCGGATAAATAATTCGTATTGATTTATTAAATTCATTACCCTCGTACCAATATTAAGCTTGACGCGTTCGCGTGAAATATTTGAGACGATATTTGCTTTTAATTAAATATTAAATTGAAAATTGAAAATTATCCCGCGTCGAGTTCTATCCGGCCTGGTTGCCGTTCAAATTTATGCAATATCCGGTTTCAAGTTGATATTCCACGCTATTGTTCGCAACATACAGATTCTTTGTCTACGGCTAACCGTAGGCTCCCATTTTATTCCGCTCGGCCGTAGTATGAAATTTCATATTTAGCTTATTTTCTCTCGCGCATAATTTTTCATCTCGTTTGCGATACACGCGCGCGAATTTCTCGTCTCTTTAATTCAGCAGCCACCACATTCTCGAGGATCGTGATCTTTAAAAATTGCGGCGTAGCGACGTTTGACAAGAATTCGTTCGATATCTTGGCACAAAATTTCGTTACGATTGTGTTTTCTGTTTGGAAAAAACGAAATGAAGGATGATTATATTTATCGAGCTTTCGAAATAGGACAGTTCAGTCGTCTTCGTGTTATTAATTAAACGAATATTTCTTTTCTTTCGATTCGCGCGAATGAACAGCACGTCAGCGACACAATATGATTAAATGCAAAGAGAGTGATCTGTCGCGGCGGACAATCTCAACAGTGTGTGTTTACACATGCAGTTTAAAACATTCCGCAAACGAGCAGAGCATACATACCCTTGTTGCTGGAACACCCTGTATGTATATATATATATATATATATACATATCGCGTGTACGTAATCTATAACACAGCAGCTTGATTACCTATATCGCGTAACGATTCGAGTAACAAGCAAGTTATCAACTTTAGTCAATTAATCGTAACGGACTCGCGTTACAATTTTAATAAAGGGCTGTTCACCGACTATGTTAACGAGAGGGAGGGAGGATCCCAGGTGAAATTTCAATATCCACGGCACGGGGATCAGCGACGTTGTTCATCTGACGAAGATGTTTACACCTGGGAGTAATTGTAATCGTTAACGATGATTTGCAGCGGGGCGAGCGATTAACGAAAGACGAAGCGAGAGCGTAATTAACGCACCATCGTTTCGAAAATCGGCGGAACGAGTTCGGTACATCGTTCGGCTTTGTTTATCGTTGGCCGATATTGTCGTCCAAAATCAGACAGATACGTGTCTCTGAAGTATTTCTTTTATCTGCCACTGATTAGAACGATCGTTTGTAACGGTGTCTGATGATTATCCGATTGAATTTAACGTGGCCCTGTTTATCGTTGGCCGATTGTCGTCCAAAATCAGACAGATACGTGTCGCTGAAGTATTTCTTTTATCTGCCACTGATTAGAACGATCGTTTGTAATAGTGTCTGATGATTATCCGATTAAATTTAACGTGGCCCTGTTTATCGTTGGCCGATTGTCGTCCAAAATCAGACAGATACCTGTCTCTGAAGTATTTCTTTTATCTGCCACTGATTAGAACGATCGTTTGCAATAGTGTCTGATGATTATCCGATTAAATTTAACGCGAAGAGTGTAAGTGTATCGGTGACAAAAGTTGTCCTTCGTCAAAAAAAAAGAAAAAACATGGTCTACTTGGTATCATTTGAAAGTGTGAAATCTCTACTTTCAAAAGTCTACGTTCGTCTCTTCTAGTTGTTGTTGTTGTTGCTTTTTTTAATTTAAACAGTTGCGACGAGACAAGGCGGAAATCTCTCGAGCGTTCTTTCACTTCCTTGACCCTGCATTCCTCTAGATACACCGGGAAACTTGGGAACTTCTTCATTTCTCGTACGAGAAACGAAGATTCTAATTACCTCTTGTTCAGGAGTAGCTCGTTCAAAGCGTTCGATATTAGCTTGTATGAAAGTTGACGGTAATCCAGGCCCAGAGCCAGCCCCTTTTTCACGAAGTAGGCCACGTTCAAGTGCTGATCTCCGTACAGGGGTATACCGAGAAGCGGTACCCCGCAATAAACTGCCTCTTGACTCCCCAGCAATCCACCGTGTGTGATAAACAGCCGCACGTTCGGGTGACCTGGTAATTTTCAAAACCGATAACCTTATGTTTCTCTCTCGATAGAGATATTTGAAGTTAATGGGGTATTCTGGTAAGCCGGTTAAAAAAAAAAAAATTGATTTTCGTTTTACATTTTCTCAAAGTATATGCTTTCGAGTATGCCTGTGTAAAAGGATTTCTTTGAATATCGTAAAATCAGCAATGTTATAGATGTTTGAAGGAAACGGAGTGTACTACTCGCAACGTAAGTATGAATATTTTTGTACAACGGGTAACGAAAGCTTCAAATGTGTTTTTCCTCAAAAAATATTTCATTTTATAATATTATTATTTACTTTTATATTATTATCATTTTATAATATTTTATTTTTTGTGCTGCTCGATTGATTGTAAGTATGAATAATTTTGTACAACAAGGGTAACAAGAACTTCAAATATATTTTTCTCAAATCCATACTTCTTGAACTGGCTGGACGGAATAACTCGCGTTTTAGTTGACCGATTGACTTGAAATTTGGAGGAGATCTTCACCGGATGTACCTTGTATCGCGTAAACCACAGATTTCAAAATCTGATGTTTTTTTCTTTTTTTTTTTACCACCCAAAGGACGAAAAGCACAAGGAAAATTATTTAAATTATTTTAACTTCAAAATGCTGCCATTTTTTTAATTTTCGAAATTTCTCCGTTTCCGTGGTTTATGCGACAGCCATATTTATACTAATTGAGATACATTTTGGTTTTTTAGTTCGGAATGACCAGGTGGATCAGAATCCGTTTTTAAAAACATGCTTTACCTAAGACTATATAATTTCCACAACTTTCGTTAATTTCGTTAAAAAAAATTGTAAATACTCTTCAAGTATGAATGAATCTGTGTGTAGAAACTGCATACCAAAATGCATCATGGTGAAAAAAATCCCAAAAATGTCGATTTTTTTCAAGCCGGATTACCAAAATTGCAACTGGTTGCGCGGACCATAACGAGTGACCGAACCGTATACAATAATTTGTCGTTTTCTTCTTCCTTTAAACTCGTCTCGGTATGATATCACTGGATAGAAATGATTAAGAAGTAACAGACTCGTCGTTTGTTTTGCCTCGGTTACATTTAAATATACTTGAAACTGAGAAAATGTTGCAATTTTGGGACAGAAAATTTCTCGACGTACTTGGCACAAAAACCAAGATTCATTTTGGTTTCTTAGTTTGAAATAACCAGGTGGATCGGAATCACGTCATCAATCATTCGAACCCGTTTTTAAAAACATGCTTTACCTAAGGCTATACAATTTTCACAATTTTCGTTAATTTCCTTAAAGAAAAAAATTGTAAATACTCTTCAAGTATGAATGAATCTGTGTGTGCGAAAACTGCATGCTAAAATGTATCATGGCTTAGAAGAAAATCCCAAAGAAGTCGATTTTTTTCAAGCCGGATTATCAGAATATCCCCGAAGTTAAGTAAAGTTCCTCGGATATTAAACTGTGGAAGAGACGATTTCCAAAGAAGTTCGAATTCAGAGAAGGGTACGGGGAGGAGATAATACGAGGAATTCGATAATGAACAAATTTGTCAACGACGCTTCGAATCTCGTTCGTGCGTCTAAATCAATTAGTTGAACAGCAGATCGTTTGCATACAAAGCAATCTGATTGCCAACGGCATACGAAATGGAACATGCAGGTAACGCGCGGGCAAATTTGGATCCATCCCAAGAATTAACCTAGACCCAGCCTAAATTTAACCCTGCCCTAATTCGCGCATTATTCTCCCAGTCCTGCAACTCGCCCCGGTACGTATTTACGACGTACTAAACCCCTGAATTCTATATAATGTGCCTGACACACGTGACGCGTGTGTCAAATCAGCGTGCGACACCGACGCGATATTAAGATACATACATTGGCCGAACCTCGGCGAACTTGGCGAAAAATTTAATAGAACGCAAATATCGAAGAAACTGTAGAAAGAAATTACACGACTTGTAATTTGATGAACGAAAATCTAGTTCCGGCACTTTTATATTTCGGCAACGTTAATTAATTTTTTCAATTTAATTCGAAAAGAGAAGGTTTGCTTCTTGCAGCTAAATCTTACTTTCCAAAGTTCGAGGATCAATTTACTTTTATACAAATGGCACGTATACACAAGTCTCGCGTATATTTTTTCGATTCAAGTGTTAGAACGATGTGAGAGGAAAGATGTTTCGTTCGAAACTTTTCGATTGTTGAATTATTCTTTCATCTTCGACGACGCTTGCATCTTCAAGGTAAGATGAACGTGAATGCAGCTGAAAGTGGCAGAGGAAACATAAAAGTTTGTCGAAGCATAAATTAAAACAAAAAACAAAAAACAAAAAAAAAAAAAAAACAATTAACTTGGAACGATTCGGACTAGATAAAATGAAATGAATTGCAGTTGCCATTGTACAAATCTAGATTATTTGACGATAAACGGCGTGTGTGAAGGGGCGTAAAGGGTGGTTCGATATTCGGGGAAATTGATCTGCAAGTTATTTAACGTTAATGCATACTTTAAATCAATTTTGACGCGATTACGGGATTTAATATCCAGAATGGTAAATGGAATTGTTGATTGTACAGGAGTACGTGCTGTTGCTCCATTGACAGAAACGCACGCGTTCGTTGTTATTGTTAGATAATTGGTACGAGGCAGGAGAGGTCAAGGGAAAGTCTCGAAATCTTCGAATTATTCCAAATTCAACTGTCCTAATTCCCGCCGGAGAAAATAAAACTACATTCTTCATCTAATTTCAATGGCGAAGGTACAATCTCTTCAAACTATATCCAAACGTGGAAGACTACTTCCATTGTACAATGATTACTGAAGCTCATTTTCAAAATTGAGGAACCACTTCTAATGCTACGGATTGCAAAAAAAAAAAAAAAAAATTTCTCAATTAATCGCTAATTGAAACAATCTTTTACCAAGCTTGAATTGTACAATTTCTCTCTCTCTCTCTCTGGTACGTGTACTCGCTCGATTCATCAAAATTTCGCTCGTAAACGTTGCGAGAGGGTGCCGAAAAAATCGAGCCAAGTGCTCGCCAGAGAGTTGCGAAACATTCGACAGCGAAATGTGGGGAAAAACCGCGCATAAAAGCATTCGCTTTCAGGTTTTTTCCTGATCTCCGTGGGATAATATTCTCGCCGATGCTTAAAGTTGGTGCGGCGCCGGTAAAAAAGAATGTATACGCACACAATATGGCGAGCTGGGGCGCCCATTCGATGCACTTAACGTTCCTGGGCAGCGTGGGCATTTTCTCCGCGGAGCACTTCCACAGTATTTGCTGCGGTACTTGCTCGAACGCTCTGTAAAAACCTTCTAACGCCTGCGCCGCCATGGTGGACGAGTCTATTTGCGATCCTAGGCTAAAGTAAATAACACCGTTTTCCCAGTGCGAGTCAAGAAAATCTTGAAGATCGTTGGGCAACGCCGGTGGGCCCGACGCTGGTATGTGAATGCCACCCAGCTCCTTCAGTCCCGGTGCTAGCGCTCGCGGCGTGTTAACAGCTACGTGTCCGTTCGTTAATATCAATGATATCTTCGATCGTAGAGCGTCGAAATCGGGCAGATCGTCGCCGAAGTGTTTCTTCGCGATTTCGTAACCTGGCTTGTCTGATAAGTATCTGTAATCAGAATTTGAAAATAGATAACACCCGTTATTAGGCGAGCGTCACAGTTGTAGCTCGAGGAAATGAATTGAGGAGCAATCTGGAGACATTTTGTGAAAATATTTTCAATGTATTTTTCTATAAATATGTGCAACGACTTTCACTATAAATATTGTAGCTCGAGGAAATGAATTGAGGAGCAATCTGGAGACATTTTGTGAAAATATTTTCAATGTATGTTTCTATAAATATGTGCAACGACTTTCGCTATAAATATTGTAGCTCGAGGAACTGAATTGAGGAGCAATCTAGAGACATTTTGTGAAAATATTTTCAATGTACTTTTCTATAAATATGTGCAACGACTTTCGCTATAAATATTGTAGCTCGAGTAAATGAATTGAGGAGTAATCTAGAGACATTTTGTGAAAATATTTTCAATGTACTTTTCTATAAATATGTGCAACGACTTTCGCTATAAATATTGTAGCTCGAGTAAATGAATTGAGGAGTAATCTAGAGACATTTTGTGAAAATATTTTCAATGTACTTTTCTATAAATATGTGCAACGACTTTCGCTATAAATATTATAGCTCAAGGAAATGAATTGAGGAGCAATCTGGAGACATTTTGTGAAAATATTTTCAATGTACTTTTCTATAAATATGTGCAACGACTTTCGCTATAA